CCTTAAAAATTAATAATAAATTGAAGCCACCCTCCTTCAGAGAGCAGAACTAAAACAGAATAGTAAGAATTCTATTCTGCTGCAAGTGACTCTGGGTTTCATAATTTTCTAATCACATACAGCTGAGAACCAGAGATTGGGCGCACAAAGAGGAAATCTTCCCCCTAATGAGAAAATGATACTTTTTAATAAGAAAGTCCTCCGCCCCCCCCCGACACCCCCAAATCCTCAAACATCCAAGAAATTTACAGTTTCAGTCCTGGACTTCCTTCCCTCCTAGTTTCAGCCAGTCATTTAGTCACATGAAATAGTTTAACCTCAAACAACTACAACAAGAGCATGAATAAGAGGCCAAGAGAGAGCAGGGGTCAGAAGGCACGCAGGACGGTCACCTGGCCTGGACACGACCAAAGAGGTGCCCTGCCCTCGCCCGGCTCCCCTCGAGGTCGGCTTCGACCCCAGCCTTTTCTTCCTGCCTCCCCCCGGGCTAGTGACTGCTTTCACGGCCGACCCTCTCTGACCCACCAGGACGAGCGGCCAGAAAAGAAAGCACACGACCCGGCGCGGGCAAGTTGGAGACTTACCTTCCCCTAAAGCGCTACACCATCAATAGAGAGGTGTTCGCGGCCCAGCTCCGGGGAAAGTGGCGGGCACGGGGCGGGAGGCCGCGGGGAGGCTGCGGGGCCGCGGGGCGCAGGGCCGAGAGGGGCGGCCCGCGGGGAGGCGACGCGGAGGGACTGCGGGGGCTTCCCTGCCGTGACCTTTCCTGCGACTTCACACTAGGCTCCCTGCTCCTCGGTAGGGCAGATCTTTCAGACGCGAGAGCCCAGGATCATGTCTGGTTTTGTTTTCCGAGGGCCAGGGGGCTCCCTGAGGATGATGGTGATTTTCTTTTTTTTTTTTTTTTTTTTTTTCCTCAACTAGGAGAGAAAATGAGGCAGAGACGATGTGGGGAGCCAGAGAGGGGAAGAGGAGGGGGGAGGAGGCGGGGACCGAGGCCCAGCAGGGCGAGCGTCTCGGGGCGTGCGGGAGGCTGAGGAGGATCCGGAGCGCGAGGGGCGGCTCGCGAGCGTCTGTGGGAGCAGCGGCACCTCCGCGATGGTGGCGGAGCCGCGACGGAGCTGCTGCACCGACCCGCCACCCACTCCCCGCTCGGGCCCGGCCCACCTCGCAGTATCGCGCCTCCCCATTGGCTCAGCGCGGCGTGACGCGCCCGGGTGTCCGGCCAGTGGGAGGTGGAGGGCGGGCGGAGGAGGCGGGATCTTTTTCCTTTTTTTTTTTTTTTTTTTTTTTTTTTTTAATCTTTTTAATAAAATGAGCAGAGGAAAAGACGGGGAGAGGCCGAGACTTGACGACGCCGCGGGCCGGGGTTCCAGGGCGCGCGCTGCAGGCGGCGGCGGCCCGGGGCGGTGGGCTGGGCTCCTGCCAGGGGCACCTCTTTGTGAGAGTGCTAGGCCAGCCCTCCTCCGCCGCCCCCTACGCTACGGGACAGTCCCCCACGCCCACCCGGGCGGGGCCGGGCTAGCGGGGCGGGCAGGTCCCGGGTCGGGGGGGCGGGAGTCAGGTTGCTCCTGCTGTTACCCAGGTCTTAATTGGCCTTTTCAGTCATTAGGACTCAGATCCATGTTCCTGGGGGCTACAGAGTGGGTGTAAACGACTGGTTTATGGACTCTCGAAATCCTGATGAGCAGCTCATAATATTTTTCAACTAGTGTACATGACAAAAGATGAATTAAGAAAGATAAATAAAAGTGGTAAGTCGCACTGCTTATTTGAAAGGAATAAAAAGTGTCATCAAGGCATAAAGGAGAGACTGTACAGGTACAGAAGGGATTTTAGAAAAAGCAGTGTACAACTCTATAGGGTAAGTGTGAAAAAAATCTAAAAAAGAGGAAAAGGCCAAAACATCACCTTTTTCTTTGAAGAATAAAGTATTGTATCCCACTTCCCAAAAGCCTGATAATCCCAGGGTCTATGATGCTGTAAAGGGAGTAGGGGCAGGCCAAATGATCATATTCTAGTTAATATCATTTATAGGATTGAGAGGTTTGGACATTTCAATTATGATTAGTTTTTGAAATGCATGTCATGTTTATTGAGTTCTTTCACAGAGCCTGGCACGAATCCAGGGTGAATCATCAACCTATTGTTGGTTTGTTAATATTCTATAAAAGCTTATTCGTGTCCTTATACCATATATTCTTCCCGAAGGAGTTAAGGTCAGTATAAAATAGAATAATTAAGGGATAGAAAACGTTGCACAAAATAATTCACTCATCTATTTCAAATAAAGTGATAGTTTTCTCCTTGGAATATCTATTCAGATTACTATTTCCACATTCAGTGGTTTCTTTAAAATAATTTGGACTAACAGATACTATGGGAACATGGCCCAAGAGATCTAAAAAATAAAAGAAAAAAGAAAGAGATAGATCCTTGCAATCACCTTTCTGAGTAACTTTCAGCAAAAAAAAAAAAAAAAAATCCTCTTTGCTGGAATTATGAAATGGGGAAACTAGTTAATATCTCTTTATGTATCTGATAATGGAGAACTGAATTTTAAAACCTAATAAATTCAATAAAGTACTTCAACATTCTAGATATGGATAGGACTATTTTTCCTGTTAGGAAATGATGAGGGATAAAGTATATCAGTTAGATGGCTTCAGTTTCCATCAAAATCTCTATCTACAGGAGCATTAGTTCTTTTTTCTTGTTTTTTGAGACAGTCTCGCTCTGTTGCCCAGGGTGAAATGCAGTGGCGGGATATCAGCTCCCCACAACTTCCACCTCCTGGGTTGGAGTAATTTTCCCTCAGCCTTCTGAGTACCTGGAATTACAGGCGTGCGCCGCCACGCCCAGCTAATTTTTGTAATTTTAGTAGAGATGGGGTTTCACCATGTTTCCCAGACTGGTCTCGAACTTACAGGAGTGTTATTTCTAATAAAGGTTCAGCTCTGTGATGGACAGATGGACAATGCACAGCCATCCAGCAGGGAGAAGAAAGGCTCTCCACGTTAGAAAATCACATTTACTATGGTGTTAGGGATTGACTGTCATTTTCATTTATCCATAAAAATGTAAATTTAGGCCGGGCGCGGTGGCTCAAGCCTGTAATCCCAGCACTTTGGGAGGCCGAGGCGGGTGGATCACGAGGTCGAGAGATCGAGACCATCCTGGTCAACATGGTGAAACCCCGTCTCTACTAAAAATACAAAAAATTAGCTGGGCATGGTGGCACGTGCCTGTAATCCCAGCTACTCGGGAGGCTGAGGCAGGAGAATTGCCTGAACCCAGGAGGCGGAGGTTGCGGTGAGCCGAGATCTCGCCATTGCACTCCAGCCTGGGTAACAAGAGCGAAACTCCGTCTCAAAAAAAAAAAAAAAAAAAAGTAAATTTAGAAGTCTAGAAATACCACGTAATTACAAAAACATAATATATGGTATCAGACCACAAAATTAGCAAACTAAACCTATGTAACTGTCACAGTCCCATGCAAGAATTGTGGTCCAGCTGGAAAGTACTGGACCTCCTTCCAAGGATCCGAGAAGCTGATAATGTAGTAACATAATCTTCATAATAAAAACAACCATTAAACTTGATTGAAAGCTTATGATGTCCCCAGTGCCCTAAGAAATGTGTTACATTCTTTAGCCCACTTTTTCTCCCCATGAAGTATAGTATTATCATCTCCATTTTAAAAGTCAAGGAACTAGGGCTTAAGGAAGTTAAATAGCTGAAAAAATACCAAGTGGGATTTTTTTCCCATTATTACATTTGTTAACGTTTCCTTATTCTCTTTCCAGCAATATATATATATATATATATATATATATATATATATATATTTTTTTTTTTTTTTTTTTTTTAGACGGAGTTTCGCTCTTGTTACCCAGGCTGGAGTGCAATGGCGCGATCTTGGCTCACTGCAACCTCCGCCTCCTGGGTTCAAGCAATTCTCCTGCCTCAGCCTCCTGAGTAGCTGGGATTACAGGCACGTGCCAACATGCCCAGCTAAATTTTTGTGTTTTTAGTAGAGACGGGGTTTCGCCACGTTGACCAGGTTGGTCTCGATCTCTTGACCTCGTGATCCACCCGCCTCGGCCTCCCAAAGTGCTGGGATTACAGGCTTGAGCCACCGCGCCCGGCCCTCCGCAATATTTTTTAAATGGGGTGAATAAAGTACTTATTGAATCTGAAAACATCAAGGACTTTTGTTAGTTATTTTATGTATCTTTCTACAAGTAAGAAGTATGTTTTTTAAAAAATATATAGAGATCACATCAGAGCTGTATTAAAAGAAGATGTTTAATAAATGCTTTTGGGACAAGATAGCTATATGGGAAAACAAAAACAACACACACAGCCAGATTCGTATACTCCTGACACGCCCCACCACCAAAATCACTGGTGGATTTTTAAATTTTTTTTTAATTCTTTTTTTTTTTTTTTTTTTGAGACGGAGTTTCGCTCTTTTTACCCAGGCTGGAGTGCAATGGCGCGATCTCGGCTCACCGCAACCTCGGCCTCCTGGGTTCAGGCAATTCTCCTGCCTCAGCCTCCTGAGTAGCTGGGATTACAGGCACGTGCCACCATGCCCAGCTAGTTTTTTGTATTTTTAGTAGAGACGGGGTTTCACCATGTTGACCAGGATGGTCTCGATCTCTCGACCTCGTGATCCACCCGCCTCGGCCTCCCAAAGTGCTGGGATTACAGGCTTGAGCCACTGCGCCCGGCTTTTTTTTTTTTTTTTTTTTTTTTTTTTTGGAGCCCAGGAATTTGAGACTACTCATGGCAACATAATGAGAACCCCACCTCTACAAAAAAAATTTTAAAAATTAGTTGAGTGTGGGTTAGAGCGTCACGGTGAGGAAGGCAGGGAGGGCAGGTGCGAAAGCAGTGCTGGAGTCGTGTGTTTTGGCTGCGCACGATCCTGCGTGGATCAGGAGGTGGTGCTGTGAACAGCCTCAAGGAGACTATAAGAAAAGAAAACAGAAGCCATGTTTCGAAGACCCGTATTACAGGTACTTCATCGGTTTGTAAGACATGCGTCCGAAACAGCTGCCGGTTTGGTTCTTCAAAGATCCCTGAATCGTGTGCAGTTACTTGGGCGAGTGGGTCAGGACCCTGTCTTGAGACAGGCGGAAGGAAAAAATTCAGTCACAATATTTTCTCTAGCAACAAAGGAGATGTGGCGATCAGGGGAAAGTGAAGTTTACCAAATGGGCGATGTCAGTCAAAAGACAATGTGGCACAGAGTATCAGTATTCCGGCCAGGCCTCAGAGATGTGGCATATCAGTATGTGAGAAAGGGGTCTCGAATTTATGTGGAAGGGAAAATAGACTATGGTGAATACATGGATAAAAATAATGTGAGGCGACAAGCAACAACAATCGTAGCTGATAATATATTTCGAGTGACCAGACAAAAGAGGAGTGGAATGGATCACCTTCTTTGGCCATCATTTGGTACAGTCTCTTCCAAGTCATTTATAATCCTTACACTTCCCAAGGACAAGAATTAAAATACTCTTTTGCATTAAAAAAAAAAATTAGTTGAGTGTGATGGTGCATGCCTGTAGTTCAGTCTACTTGTAAAGCTGAGGTGGGAGGATGGCTTGAGCCTGGAAGTTTGAGGCTGCAGTGAGTTGTGATCGCACCACTGCATTCCAACCTGGTGACAAGAGTGAGACCCTGTCTCAAAGAAAAAAAAAAAAAAAAAAGCAAGTGTTGAAATACTTGTTGAAAATACATATTGAAGGCTGGGCACGGTGGCTCACGCCTGTAATCCCAGCATTCTGGGAGGCCGAGGCGGGTGGATCATGAGATCAAGAGATCGAGACCATCCTGGCCAACATGGTGAAACCCTGTCTCTACTAAAAATACAAAAAAATTAGCCGGGTGTGGTGGCACGCGCCTTGTGGTCCCAGCTACTTGGGAGGCTGAGGCGGAAGAATCGCTTGAACTCAGGAGGCGGAGAGGTTGCAGTGAGCTGAGATTACGCCACTGCCAACAGAGCAAGACCGTCTCAAAACAAAAAAAAAAAATACGTATTGAAATACATATTTTCGTGTTGAACATACATGTTGAAAATATTTCTCCCCAGTCTGCCTGCTTCTTGCTTTGCTATGGTGTTTTTATGCCTTATAAAGATGTAAAATATTTGTGCAGTAAAATTTATTGGTGTTTTTTCCTTTACAGCGTCTGGATATCCTGCCATGTTAGAAAGAGCTTCTTCAATCCATGATGTGAAAAAGTTTTAGTATTCTTCTAATACTTTTTATTTTATTTTTTAAAATTATAAAAATTGGCATAGACAAAAGGATATACATTATGTGTACATAGGTTGAAGGGGATAATGATAAAATAAACACCAGTAAACGCAACCTAAAAAATTGTGGTTTCGTGGTTTCACTTTTTTTAAAACTTATTTTCATTGTTTTTATAGACGAGGACATGCTGTGTTGCCAGCTGATCTCGTAGGAGGGCTTAAGCCACCCTCCCACGTCAGGCTCTCGGTAGCTGCAACTACAGGCACCTGTCGCAATTCCCAGCTTATTAGTTTCACTTTCTTACATTAAAAAAATTCTGGGCTGGGCACAGTGGTTTAAGTTTGTAATCTCCGAATTTTGGGAGGTCAAAAGGGAGGATGACTTGAGGCCAGGAGTTTCAGACCAGCCTGGGCAATACAGCAAGACCCCATCTCTAAAAAATTTAAAAGATTAAAAAAAAAATCCATCTGGGGCCGGGTGGGGTCACTCACCCCTGTAATCCCAGCACTTTGGGAAGCCAAGGCAGGCAGATCACCTGAGGTCGAGAGTTTGAAACCAGCCTGACCAACATGGCAATAACCCAGCTCTGCTAAAAATACAAAAATTAACTGAGCATGGTGACGGGCGCCTGTAATTTCAGCTACTCAGGAGGCTGAGGCAGGAGAATCACTTGAGCCCAGGAGGCAGAGATTGCAGTGAGCCAAGACGGTGACATTGCACTCCAGCCTGGGTAACAGAGTAAGACTCCGTCTCAAAAAAATGAAATAAAAGAAAAATAAAGAATGAGGTAAATCTGAATTGATAAAGAATGATAGCCATAATTCAGAGTTAAATGAAAAAAGCAAGTCGTACAATCATTATGTAAAGTATAATTCTATCTGTATTTTTAAAAGGACAAATGTGTATGTGCTTCCAAAATGTCTAGAAGCATATCCTCCAAGAAACTGTACATTTTGCCGACTGGGTGTGGAAGGGGGCGTGAGGAAGGAGCAAGAGACTGACATTTGCCTTCATTCGATTCTGTTGTTTGACTTTTTTCATTTCATATCAAGCATGGATAATTCTTATAATTAAAAAAAACATTCAAGTTCTTTGAACATATGGCTGGTAACTAGTCTTCATTATTCACCAGAAGTACTCAAGCTTTAGAACATGTAAATTATTTTCCCCTAAATGCCTTAAGCAGAACTAGGGTGCTTTAGCGAGCCTTGTAACAGACTGAAGCTTGTTTCTAGGCATTTTCTATGAAATTGGCTTCCAAGTTTATGTAGTGCAAATACAAGCCAATAACGAGCCTCAGCAATCTCCCATTGCACTTTTTCAGGTTGAGCTTCGAGCAGCACTTCTTCCTTCCCCACCGCTAGTTCTCTGAGCTCACCTTATTTACCCATAGCAGTTTTTCACTTTATAATTTATTGTGAATCAGAATTTCTCCCTCTCTAGTTTTTTCCCCTCGGGCCAGGTAAGTAACCCTTGGTAGCCTTTGAAAGTCCCTGCACTGAATTGGAATGGAGAAAAGGTTGATGTTTCAGGGCACAAGTGCGAGTAAATACACAGAGAGGTGAAACAGCTTTTCAAAAACAAAGAATCAAATATCAGAAACCCTATTCCTTTGTTTGGATGTGATTTATTATGGATTAGCAATTAAGATTTCCAATTCTGGCTGGGCGAGGTGGCTCACCCCTGTAATCCCAGCACTTTGGGAGGCTGGGGCAGGCAGATCACCTGAGGTCAGGAGTTTGAGACCAGCCTGACCAACATGGTGAAAACCTGTCTCTACTAAAAATACAAAATTAGCCGAACTTCGTAGCACATGCCTGTAATCTCAGCTACTTGGGAGGCTGAGGCAGGAGAATCACTGGAACTCAGGAGGTGGAGGTTGCAGTGAGCCAAGATCGCGCCATTGCACTGGGCAACAAGAGCAAAACTCCATCTCAAAAAAAAAAAAAAAAAAAAAAAAAAAAAATTCCAATTCAACTCCAGACTCCATTGAATTGTATATCCACCAAGGTAGAAGTGGGTCTGATTGCCAACACACTTACAGATAGATCTCAAGAAACCCTGCTTCACTGAGCCACGTCGGATTTGGGGGAGGGCTACCCTTCCCTTTGAATCACACTCAGCCAATGTGACAGCATGTTGTCTGGGGCACTAGGATGCCTTTTGGATGAGATCTAAACCCAACCTCTGACTCCTGACCACTTGTGATTATTAAAAGTCTCCTAGGGCTTGTGAAAGAATTAAAGGGAGGAGATGCTGATTTTCATTGTCTTGGCCCAGTTCCAAGTTTGCTAATTAGGAGTCCTCCTCCCTCTGTCTTCCTGCCATTTCACTGAGAAGCGCAATTCCACACTTCCTGTTATAAACAGCTGTCCACTGTTAACTGAGTGAGCCAAAGAGCCAGCGAATTCCACCCTAGAGGAAGCTGCATTTCAAAATAAACATTTCCTCCACATCTTCTGGTAAATTACCTAGGTTAGCCTTGGAGGAAAGGTGTTATTTTCTAGGGATAAGAAGGGGATAATAATGGGGAGTTGAGAACTATCCACAAACCCCAGTTTGTCTAAATGCCAAACAAAAAAGACTAACATTGATCACAAAGGGGCCCTCAAAAGAAATCTTCTCACTAAAGGAAATATATTTTAGATTCTAAAATTGTCCTTAGGAGGTTCAGAATTAACTGTATGACATTGACGTGGCAGGTGCTGTTAGCCACCAGAACTCACTTCTTCAATCCAAGGCATCTATACAAACAGAATAAAGAGAGAAAACTCTGTAAACCAGAAAAAAAAAAAAAAGAAAGAAAGAAAAATTCACCTCTGCCATCCGAGCTCCGATGTCAATGTGACACATGGATGGCCACTCATGTTAGTGCCTCCCTCCTCTTTGTTCAACTTTCCCAGGCACCTTAATTTCAAAATATCCACATTCCCATTCCTTTTAACACCAAACGTCTCCTGCTACTCCAACCTCCAGAATAAATTCTGCTATGGCCAGGTGTGGTGGTTCTTGCCTATAATCCCAGCACTTTGGGAGGCCAAAGTGGGCGGATCACCTGAGGTCACGAGGTTTTTTTTTTTTGAGATGGAGTTTCGCTCTTGTTACCCAGGCTGGAGTGCAATGGCGCGATCTTGGCTCACCGCAACCTCCACCTCCTGGGTTCTGGCAATTTTCCTGCCTCAGCCTCCAAAGCCTGGGATTATAGGCACGCACCACCATGCCCAGCTAATTTTTTGTATTTTTAGTAGAGACAGGGTTTCACCATGTTGACCAGGATGGTCTCCATCTCTTGACCTCGTGATCCACCCCCCTCGGCCTCCCAAAGTGCTGGGATTACAGGCTTGAGCCACCGCGCCCGGCGAGGTCATGAGCTTTGAAACCAGCCTGGCCAACATGGTGAAACCCCATCTCTACAAAAATACAAACGTTAGCCAGATGCAGAGGTGCATGCTTGTAGTTCCAGCTGCTCAGGAAGCTAAGGCAGAAGAACTGCTTGAACCTGGGAGGCGGAGGTTACAGTGAGCTGAGGTCTTGCCACTACACTCCAGCCTGGGCCACAGAGCAAGACTCCACCTCAAAAAAAATAAAAATTAACTCTGCTACATTTGCTTTTTAAAAATCTTATTAATGAAAAGAGCATTTTAACATGGAATCAACCAAGATGTCCTTCATTAAGTCAACAAATAAACTGTGATGTATTCATGCAATGCAGTATTATTCAACACTAAGAAGGAATGAGCTGGCTGGGCGGGGTGGCTCATGCCTGGGTAATCCCAGCACTTTGGGAGGCCGAGATGGGTGGATCACAAGGTCAGGAGTTTAAGACCAGCCTGGCCAAGATGGTGAAACCTCATCTCTTAAAAAAAAAAAAAAAAAAAAAAAAGGTGCTGGGTGTGGTGGCTCACACCTATAAGCCCAGCACTTTGAGAGCCCAAAGTAGGAGGATCTCTTGAGGCTAGGAGTTAAAGGCCAGGCTGAGCAACATAGTGAGACTCAGGCTCCAGAAAAATAACAATAATTTTAAAAATAAAAATAAAAAATAAGTAAAAGGCATAAAGGAACATTAAAGGCATATTACCATATGAAAGAAACCAATGTGAAAAGGTTACATACTGCATGAGTCAAACTATTTGACATTATGGAAAAGGCAAAACTATGTCTAGAAAAGGCATATTCTGGGAAGGACAGTGAAGAGATTAGTGGTTGCGAGGGCTTTGACGGAGGGATGGAAAACTAGGTGGCGCACAGGGGAT